ATATTATATTTTTATTTTTATTTTATTATTATTATTTTATTTTTTATTTTTTATTTTCTTTCTTAACTACCGATTGAATAAAGAAACTAAAATCTAGGATTCAATGTAATCAAAGAGAGGATTTTCAAGATCAATTCAAAAAATCAACAAAGAACCTAGACCTAATTGAGGTTTGGGCAAAATTCAATCTCAGGATTCTAGCTTGGGATTGATTCTATCCATTTCTAAAGATCCTCCTAAGAATGCCTATAAATTGAACAGTTCTCAAAGGACACAAGACACAATTAATCTAGGGAAGAGAAATTTTGGTAAAAAGTTTGGCAATTATAACTCTAGCCAAATTTTTAAGCAATATTGGGTTTATGGAATTTTTTATCTTGGGATTCTAGGATTGATTTGAAGTTTCTAGGTGTGATTTAAAGATTCTAGGTTTAGATTTAGGTTTTTGGGATTAGGTTTAAGCTTCAAAAAGGTTTTTGAATGGATATGGGCAAAATTTTGGAAAATCTAAAAAAAACTAGGTTTTTGCGTGAATTTTTAAATTTTTTAGTGAAATTTTTTAGTAAAGGTTAAATTTTTCGATACGGTTCTAATGACTTTTTAAAAAATCGATGGATTTTTTAGTTTTTGGTTGAATATTTTGGCTACTTTTCCAAAAATCAATAGGTTTTTCCAATTTTCGATTGAAGTTTCAATGGTGTTCTTAGATTTTTTAGAAAGAAAGAAGAGTGTTTTCGAGGTAGAGAAAAAGAGCAAGAGCTTTTGAGGCTTAAAACGTAAAAAGTGACTTTTATAAGGTCTTAAAATGGCATCATTTTGGAGAATCTAGATCTGTGATAACTTGACCAGAATCCATGTGTTGACCCGTATGCTGACCCGACCCGAATCGTAGGTTTTCCTTTTTTCATTGTCATTTTAATTTTTTGATTTCATTATTTCAAGCTTTCTATTTTATTTTATTTCTCTGGTTTTTATTTATTTATTTACATTTAGTAATTCAATATCTATTTAAAAAAGAATCTTTTCTTTCTAGAAAAAATATAATAATAATAAAAACAATAAAAAAAAACCTTTTCAAATAAGTTTAAAACACAAAAAAAATATATCTTTTTCAAATAAATTTATGGAATTCACCAAACTATTGAAAATTTTCATAAATCAGATTTTAAAAAAATAAAAACAAAAAAAATATTTTTATCCTCCAAATGATTGGAAGATCGCTTTCTAAATTAAGTCTTACTAAACTATTGAAAGACTTAATGAAATTTTTAAAAATTTTTACAAATCTATTTGCAATACAATCTTACAAAACTATTAGGAGATCTGCATCAAAGTAAGTTCTACCAAATTATTGAAAAACTTTACTGATTTTTTCAAATAAAAAACCTTAATAAATTTGATGATGGAGCTTCTTTAAAGTAAGACACTAGTCCTCATGAATACTCTTGATGTGAGAGAATTATCTTAAATTGCTATCAAATTATTGAGACAATTTTAAGACTAATTTTCAATATTTAATATTTTGGTAAAAGCATAAACATATTTTTAATGCTTAGATAATTTGAAATCAAACTAGTACCATCTTTAGGTGGACACTATAAGAGTGCTATAACATTTCTCACACGTAATCATACTCTCAAACCTAAATCTGATTTCATGAATCAGATTCAATCAAGTGACCAATCACGTCTTAACAAAAAAGATTGATGGTAACTCCTCTAATTCATATGTAGCGGTAGATCTACGGATTTATACATTAAGACATTAAATACATTTTTTTTTGCAAAAGAAACATAGTATTTGATAAATATAAAATTTCCTCTATATTAAAAACAATGTTTCTTGTTATAAAAAGCACTATGTTTTCTATTATATAAAATTTTTAACTATGTTTTTTATGTAAAAAACGTAATGTTTGATACCAAGCATTACATTTCCTTTTTTTTCAATGGCCAATATAACTTTTAACCTTGCTAAACTAGCTAGTTAATTTTATAATGCTTGCCTATCTATAACTACATTTGTACATGGATTGCGTTTATAGCTTCAAAATGTTGTACTTGATTAATTGTCAAACACTGCATTTATAACTCCACAAACATCATGTTTGATCAAAAGACTACATTTATAAAACCTAAAAATGATGCTTATGTGCTTATTTATAAACTAAAATGTATTGCTTGATTCTTTATCAAAATTGCATTTATAGTGATAGAAACATCGTGTTTGTTATTTATTACGACATTTATGTAATAAGAACGTTGTTCTTGTTTATAATGAATTTTTTTATTTGTTAAAGACTACATTTATAATAAAAAAAATTCATTGTCTTTGAACTTTATCATATATATATTTTTGTTCGTAATATACCACATTATTTTTAACTTAATGAAAATGAAAACTTTCTTTATTTTTGTTATTTATAGTTGTCACATGTTTAATTTTGATAACATAATTGGCAGTTGAAATGTTTGTCATATGTTATTCACATATAATGAATGATATTATAATAAAAAGCATTTATTATGTAATCTGAGATTTCGCAAACCAAACACTAGAATTTAACATTCTTATGATAAGAAGAATCACCCTTTCCAAAGAATTTACACTTTTCCAAGGATCACTTTCCCTCTTAGAATCTAAGATTTCACGAACCAAACACCCCTTTAAGAATGGGTTAAATGCTAGTCAAATTGATTTCTTTTTTACGAGGAAAGAGGATAGAAGTAGCTATAAAGATTGTAATATTATATCGAGTAAAAGTGTGACAACACAATATAAACTAGTAATTCTAGATTTTTTTTTTACCTTTGAGGATCAAAGAGGATACATTAGAGTCATGAACCATGTATTAAGTAGTGAAATTTGAAAAAGACCAAATGTTAGCTTTTAGGGATAGACTGGTAAAATTGGTTGATTAAAAGCCTGATGAGGATATAGAAGTAATGTGAGAAAATATCTCTACAAGAATTCAAAGGGTTGTTAAAGAGACACTTAGCAAATTTAAAGATCGTGTATCACTAGGAAAAGAATCTTGGTGGTAGAATGAAGATGTGAAAATGGTAATTAAAGCTAAGTGAGAGTGTTATATAAATTTAAGGAATAATAAAGATGAGATGAGTTATTTGAAGTATAAAACAGCAAAAAAAGAAGCCAAAAAGGCTATTTAAGATTCAAATATTAGGATATATGATAAATTATATAAAAAATTTAGAGACAAGAGATGGAGAAAAAGAGTTATTCAAAATTTCTAAAATGAGGGATAAGAAGAGTATGGATCTTAATGGCATAAAATGCATAAAAAACTATGAAAAAAGAGTTTTAATGAAGGATAAAGAGATTAAGAAGAGATGATGAGATTAGTTTAATAATCTCTTTGATGGCAATTTGTAGCATGATATAGGTAGGGTTATCACACCTTTTAAAGATCTAAATAGTATGTTTAAACTAATTATTGAAAGGTATGAGGTTAAACAAGCTTTGAAAATGATGAAAGCAAAGAAAACTGTAGGACTAGACGGAATCCTAATTAAAGTTTGAAAATGCTTAGGTTAAATAAGGATATGATGGTTGACAGATTTTTTCAACAAAATTTGGCGTGCTTAAAAGATGCTAAAAGAATTAAGGAAGAGTATTCTAGTACATTTTTACAAGAATAAATATGAAATACAAAATTGTTCAAACTATCGAGGAATAAAGCTTATAAGTCATACTATGAAATTTTGAGAGAGAGTAACTGAATATAAGTTACAACATGAGGTTGCTATTTTCGAAAACCAATTTGGGTTTATGCGAGGACGCTCCACAACAGAGGCAATTCAATTATTAAGGCTTTATTGGATGATTTTTAGGCGAGAAAAAAGTATCTACATATGATATTTATCGGTTTGGAGAAAGCATACCCCAAAAAATGCTTTGATGGGCTTGAATGAAGAAAAAAGTTCATTTAAAGTACGTTAACATAGTTAAAGATATGTATGAATGAGTTGTTACGAATGTGAAAATGTTTGGGGTTGTGATTGATAGCTTTCCATTACCTCAAGATCACATTAAGACTCAACACTTAAGTCTATTTCTTTTTACATTAGTTATGGACGAGCTCACTGGACATATCCAATACAAGAAGTCATGCGTATGTTATTTATCGATGATATAGTCTTCGTTACTTAAACTAGTGATAATTTTAATGTGAAATTATAATTATAGAGGCATACACTAGAGTCTCTAGGCTTTAAATTGAGTAAATCTAAAATTGAATATATAAAATATAAGTTTAGTAGTTATAGGGAAACAAGTACTGGTGTAATTAAGTTGGATGGTGAAGCAATACCAAAGAATAATCTTTTCAATATTTGAGATCAATTATTCAAAACGATACTAAGATAGAAAGGGATGTATATCATATGATTTAAGTAGGATGAATGTGATGGCAAAGTGCATTAGTTTTGTTGTATGATCGCTACATACCTTAAAGTTAAAGCCAAAATTGTATAAAACAATTGTAAGGCCTATATTATTATATGAAATTGAGTGTTGGGCCATTAAGAAACAATATGAGAAGAAAATGAGTGTAACTAAAATGATGATACTTAGATGGATGTGTTGTAAGACTAGAAGAGATAAAATCATAAATGAAAAAATTTTAAAAAAATTAGAAGTAGTCCAAATTAAAGAAAGGATGAGGAATGGTTGTTTAAGATTGTTTGGACATGTGAAACGTAAACCTATCTGTATACTAGTTAAGAGAAATGAGTTTCTAGATTTATAAAAGACCAAAACTTTTAAAGATAGACCATGAAATATGAGAATACAAATAATAAAAAATGATACGAAAGTTAAGGAGGTAAATGATTTTTTTTATATAAAATTGAGTGGCGCAAGAAAATTCAAAACCGTGAATTGATATAATTTATTTTTTGGCTTTTCATACAATCGATCTCAAAATTATGAGATATAAAATCTAATTTAATGTTGTTGTTGTACCATATATTAACCATATTAAATCAAAATTGTTATGTTAGACTCTATTTGATCTAAATAACTCGTTACTATTTTCCAAACTAATCTTACGATTCATAACCAGTTATGTCACCTTGGATTACTTGTTTATGCAATTAGTAATCCCAGACCCTTTTAATTATTAATTCAATTTGAATTCATTATTTAATTTGGGGTATTCTATATCTTAGTGTTGGCTTGGAAAAAAATTGATAGAAAAACAATAATCAACAAATCTAATATGAGAAAGAGAGTATTGTATATCTTGCCCTCGTTTACAAATAATAAAAGAAAAAGCTAGCACAAGGGAACATTATCGCTCTCTGCAGTTGTTACCTCTGTGGTAGTATGGGCAATTTCTAGTATAGAATTAAGCAATGATGTAATAGTCTAACCCAAACATCATTGACCTAACAATATTGAAGGATGAGAAAATTTGGGCTGCTCATGCTCGTGCAAAGTGCGGATATTATAAAATGAAATTGATTGATCATGTGGGTGTGCAATAGAAAAATATACTCATGAAGTCGGAATTTCAACAAAGGTGGATGAAAAGATACGGTTAGCCAACAGCAGCTTATCATTTGCTCATGTTTGGGAGTGGAAATTGTACTCGTCATTTTGGGAAAACAACAAAATTAGAGCCGCAATTTTTTGGGGAAAAGCGCAAAAGGGGAAGAGACTCTGTCTTTTCTCCCCTTTACCACTCAACAAATCTAAACTCAATTCCTTGCGTATATGCAAGGTTTTCATTGGATGTCAAAAATTTCGAGGTAAAACTGCATAAAATTCATTCCATGTTCATAAATGATCACTGAGTTTAAAGCGAAATGATTAAGCTCAGCATGTAGTACACATGAAGAAAATAATAATTATCCATTTACTCGATGAAGAAGGAAGAAAAAGAAGAATTCTGTAATCCAGTATATCTAACTTTTCTTCTATAGCAGATCTTCATACATGTCGATGAGCTAGCCCACTCGTTTCATAGACCATGCTGTGGTATAGTGGGTAACTGATCCAACCATGAGATGAAGTAATGAATTGTGAATCATTAGATGCCATTTATTCTGTTCAGTTACTAAAAGAATGTATACTCCAAAACTGTTCCTGAAATCAAACCATTTACAAGAATTATATACGTCAGGAGGAAATAAAAAACAAAATCACTTAAATGATCATATCCTCTAATAAAACTTGGCCCGACCAATAAAAACCACCCAACCTACTCAAACCCTGGTGCAGTCTAAAAGCCAATTTCACACTCAAAGATATCAACCAAACCTGACCTAACCCAAACCTGACTCAACTTGAACTCAAAGTGACCAGAACTTGAAACTTAAATTAAGCATAAGTTAAATTCTTTTCTCATTTAGCATCTTAATTTAATTAAAAATGACATAGATGATATAAATTATTGCAAAAGATGGCCTGAACTCAACAATCAACTCAACTTGAATTTATTGAAAAAGTCGATGACCCGAGCAATGGTAATTGGAAAACCAAAGTGAGTTGAATCTGAGCACAAAACAACTTGAACCTGAAGTCAAACCAAAATTTTATGAACCTAACTAACCCATGCACAGAATAACCCAACCTGAATCCTACACGCCCAATTGCTACCTCTATCTTATAATATTAGTGAAATCCTGAGTTTTGAATATCTTCAAGTTCCGTGGAGGTACAAGCAGAATTTATATTATGAGCGCCAGTTTCTTTTATTTGAAACCTCATGTTAGTTTTCAAAAGCCAAAAACGAATGATAAGCTCTAGACAGTGAAAAAAGAACAGAAAATTAAGACATTCTACTTATCAGCGAAGCCAATATTGCGCATCCATTATCCATACCCGATACATGTGAACCTAAACTGGAAGAAGTGGTCTTTTTCCCTCTTCATTAACATGATAACTAGCCTGGAAAAAATTTTTTAAAAAAATGCATTAGGAAACATCATTGTCAATCAAAATTCAAGAGGAACAAAAGAAAGTCAGCATATTTCAATAGAAAACAGCTGGTGAAAGCTCTCACATCTTCATTTGCTCCAGCAATCGTATTTAGGAAGGATGCATCCCTAGACCTGATAAGATATGGGCAAGTTAGTATCTTTAGTTTGCAGTGAATCAAACAGCCACAATATTGGGAGAAGTTAAGGTCACACAAAATGTCATGGTGCACTGACAGATACATAACCTGCTTGCATTAGAAAAGAATGCAATGAGCTTAAACTGGAGGCCTCTCTTTACTCTTTTTTTTGTTTTTCCTTGCACCTATTCCACATAAATATGCCAATACAAATGCCAACAAATGAACTGCATGAGATTTTTTGAGAAAATAGGGCAGTATATAGTCAGAGATTTGGCCAACTCGGCACAGCCCAGTGTTTGGCACAACATTATAGCTGGCCGTGCCAGCCAACCACAAAAATAAATATGGGTCTTGCCAGGCACAGTCCTCACTGAAAAATCCTTGGCCCATCCATTGGCCACAAAATATATATATTCCTTTCTGTAAAAAATATAATTGATTTGCAATTTGCATACCAATTTTAACAAGTGGAGATGCTTATTTATATAGTCTTCCTTCCTTGCATTGGTTTTCTAAACAATGTGGGATACAAAGACCATGAACAAAAACTCTCCTCTATAACTTATTTATTGTCCATTTTTTAGGCAATTAAAATTACATATAATATTTTTTAAAATATTATAAAAGATTTTAATATATGTTAAGTATAATTTTCAATGTATTAATATTAAATTATGATTAAAATCTTATTAAAAAGATATTTAATCATAAAATAGTTTTCTTAGAAGGAATAAAGACAAAATACAAACAAGTATTTATTGAACATAGTTTGGCTTAAAATGGCTACTTCCATGGAAAAAGATGAAGCATTTCACTATGAATAAATAAATTTTACAAAGACTAATTAACTAAAAAACAATAAATTTTACAAGTTTAAATAAATTATTATTTTCTTCTAAAGATACAATTTCTTATGAGCGATATTCAACAATCAACCAATTTTTAAGGATACCACATGTTGTATGTATTCCAAAGAATAATGTTTTCCTAAACTTATCAAAGTGAGAACATTGTTTTTGAATCATATGGCATGCATGAGTGTGTAAAAATCATATTTTGGAAGTATGGAGAAGATGTTAATGAATGAAGTAAAGAAGGAGCAGTTGACTGCCTCATCAACCAATAAGCAGGCACAGCTAACTGCCCTAGCAACTGCCCATGTACAAATTGTCACAAACTCTCGGATGACATTTTGATAGAAAATTAGGCATGGGAAGTCGACTACTCTTGAGGGGCAATCGACTTCCCTATCCTAGAATGATAAAAATTGAAAGTTGGAAAGCAAGCATTCTAATGCCTTATATTGGGCATCCTATCAAAATCAAAATCAGTTTGCCTCTCCCTCAGTCTATTTTCTGATTTATGATTTGTGTTCAAGAAGTGAAGTGCCTTGTAATGCATATAAGTTCCTTAGTAAAACTATCTTCTTGTTCTTCTTAAAATTCATTTAAATTCTTACAATCATACAAAGTATACATAGAATAGAGATAAATTTTCTTTAATAAATTCTTTTACCTTGTTCGTATCAATATCAATTTACATATTAGAATAATAAGATTCAAGTTGAAATTTAACTACATTTCCCACTATGTGGCCAATTAGTTCTTTTAAAACTTATCATTTTTATAAATTTCATGTTATTATCAATTAAATATCTCGTCACACATAAATATCCATCTCCTTGATTAATGATATTTTATATTGTAATTTGTAAGTGATATTTTATAAAATTATTAGGCAATTTGATACACAAACCATTATATAAAATCTATATCATAAAAAATTACACATTACATAGATTTAAATAACTTTTTTAAATTATTTTTATAAAATAATTCTTTTACGTGCTTAAAAATTGATACTTAATAACTTTGAATATAAAAGTTTGAAAGAATAGATAACTTGTTTATATCAATCCCACTTTGGCTAAACAAGCCAAGAGAGGGGTGGTAAAGTCTAAATAAGAAATCCCACATTGGCTAGACAAGCCAAGAGATGGGGTGGTAAAATCTATAAATAAGTAATCCCACATTGGCTAAATAAGTCAAGAGAGGGGCGACAGTCTATAAATAAGCCCTCCCTTCCAAGCACTTAAGAATAAATTTTGATGTAAAAAATTTAGAAACCAATAAGTCAATGGTTTTTGAAAAATATGGGCAAAACATGGGGTGGGCTAAGTTGGGCTATGGGTCCTACATTGATAGGCTGTGCCATGGGCCAGCCCATGGCCCATCTATATGACCCATGCTGTATTGGCCCATGATCCACAAAATGCTCAGCCCAATACAGCACAAATATAAGGACCGTGCCTGGCCCAGCATGGGCACTGAAGCAAAATGGGCTGTGTCAGCACAGACCATAATGGTTTGAGCTGTGCCATGCCATGGGCCACCTGCCCATTTGGCTCTTCTAATATAGTGTCTATCGATCATCATAATCATTGGCACTTCAAAATAGTTGTTCCTTAAATGACCATCCAACCAACACTCTGAATAAGTTCCTCACAATTGTGCTGAACCACAGGACATACTTTTTAACTTAAGAAATGATAGTAAAAGCTTGATGCACCCCATAAAGCAGGAACAAAACTCAGTAACAAACGTTTTTATGCTTGATACCTTAGCTCCACTCTAAATACTAGACTAAAATCTGTTGTTTCAGACAGTAGGCATGCATTATAATCAAACAAATTTGACAATGTTTTTAGTCAGAATATGATCATTGACTCAAAGTAGGTATACCACTTATACGGTAATGTAAGACAGAGATGAAGCGCCATACAGTTCACCTCATCACAACAACATGGCTAGTTATGGTTATCTTAATGGTTTATATATCACAAATTGAAAATCCAAGAATAGGAAAAGATTATAGGACCCAAAAAGAAGAATGCTGAAAAAAATCTAACATTGTCAGCCAGGGTATTGGCATCTTATGATAACTATTGCACAAGATATTAAAATGATGCTTAGAATAAAGAAGGAAAATAAAGAAATAAAAGCATAACCATTTAACAAAGAAGGGGGGGGGGGGGGGGGAGAAAGACACAATTTCGTGATAAGCCCTTTGTTGACCCAGTGGTTGTTTGTATATGGAAAATTTATTTTTAGATGCAAGACAGAAGTCAATCTGATATGTGCACATCAGCAAGGTATAACAAGGCAACAAAGTCAGATGTTTGAGTCGCTTTGAGACAAGTCTTAACTCTTAAGAGCACTCATTATTCCAAGGTATCTTAGACCCAAAATTATCTGTTCATATTAACCCTCCTTTTCAAATTGCTCAAGATCAGAAATAGAAATAAACCACAGTTTTATCTCACTTGTGAACAATAAAAGAAAAAAAACGAACCTCTTGAAATCATAGATCCAGTTAATGCCATAATCAATATGAGTATAGAACAGTTTACTCATGGTCCACAAAGCATAAAGGAAAAATTGCATACCTCTGGCTGTTTTGGCTATCAACCATTTCCAAACTACTACTCTGTTGTTCATCTTTAACCTTTGAAAGTACTGAAAAAAACTGAAGGGAAGAAAATATATAACACAATTATATGCAGTCTCTCCCTATCGTCAAAGTGGCAGACAAAGAAAGCATAATAGTGTAGGAAATATAGACAATATATAGGTCAAGGTTACTGTGTGTACGTCACTGGACACAAACAGAAATGGTAAACAAAAGGAAAACCGCATCAGCAAGAGCATATATGAGCACCTATATAAGCTAAAATTACCTGATGCATGGAGATAATCACAACTGAGATTCCTAAAACAAAGTTCATAGTCAGGGTGTGACCAAACAAAATAGCAGATGCTATGCCAGTAAAAATTGTGGCAATAGTTGAGGAGTACTTTTTCAAGATTGTATCTGCAAGAACAAGATACCATTTTTAGAGAAGACAAAATACAAAAAATATGAGAAGCCTATTAGACAGTAAAAGAAAATAATAAATCACAATGCCACTAAGAATGCAAAGGTCAATGAGAAAAGAAGAAGCCTTTAAGCCAAACAAAAAAAAAAAGAGAAATTTAGTGAAAAATACTAAAATATGGGAAACTGGTTTGACAAAATTTCAGCAAGATAATCAACGGATAATGGTGTATGATAAAGTTATGGGTCTTAATTATTTAGCATAGCATCGTTCTCACATGAATTGCCCAATAGGGGGACTGTGAGTGTAGTCATAAAAAGTGGTCCAGATGTTATGCTTGACTAAAGAAAAAACTTTTATTCCTTTTCCTTTAACCTGAAAATAAAAAGAAAATGATTCACCGAGTATTCTCTGAAGTTCGTTTTCATATACCAATGATTCTTGACAATCGTGATCATCATCAGCTAAAACTTAATCAAGCCATCATGTAAAAGGCAAGGACATCATGCCTAATTTGCAGAATAGCTTAAAAGTTAGTCAAACGAGATATTAGCTACAGAACAGTTTAACATTTTACCAAAAAGGTTTTTTTCTTCCTGAAAATAACTTGCATACTAGTAATTTCCAGGTGTTTTCTTTAACTAAGGGCAGTAAGTGCTAAAAGGTTTAGATGCCTTACGGGAACTCTTTCCTTTTTCTTCTTTTAATCCATTGGCCAGTTCAGAGAGGTACCCTTTCCTATCCCTCTACTCCCTGACTATAACCTTGAATCTCTAACTTCCTCAAGGAAATGTTTTTTTTTTTTTTTGGTAAAAGCTCCTTAAGGAGACTACCACCTGATGCCCATATCTCTTTACACATTTCCATGGCATCTACAACAGACACAATTGATGGTTGTGAAGTTTCCCATAAAATTTTCCATCAATGATGGCATATATTTAGGGGGTATGATACCAGCAGGACTTACTCTCTCTACAAACAACCTGGGAACCAAAAGCAGTTCAAATTAGAGTATGATTTAGTTTGTGGCACATGATCATGAAGGCATGAATGTAACCACGCCTTAAACTTAATGTTGTGTCCTTTTCATTGCTTTCGAACCAATGCAACCAATATAGATATGCACTAACTCAGGTATTTTTGCAAGGTCTTATTAAATTCAGTCCAGCAATCCCTTCATCTTCTTTGCCTCTTTTTCTATCACCTTACGGTCACAAAAATAACATATGCAGTGAAATTTACCCGCATATTTGAAGAAGAAAGATGATAGGATCCCTTGGGCTGCATTGTTGCATATTAAAAGCACGGTAGCCTTTGAATGTCCCTGCAGGATATCCAAGCTACTGGGACCTAAAAGCAAGATCAAGGAATTACAGCAGCTAGTCAACAAAAGGATTATGAGTGTGCTTAGAGCAATTTATATTGCCTTTAAATGGAATAATATCAGTACAAATATATAAAAATATAAAGGAATTTGTGAGATAATCAAGAAATAGCAACCAAACGAGAACAATCAAGCTCTGTTGATAATCATATCATAATTTCCACCAAATATTCAGAACTTATCATCAGCTTCATGCCACCAGCACCAACAGTAAATTCCATGCTTAGAGTCTAAGTCCTACCTTTAAAAATTGCAGTTCCAAGAATGGCTAGGAAATTGAACATGGCACCATATCCATAAAGAAATAAGTTCTGTGAAACACATAAAGCAACCACAAATAAATGGATGATTTAAACTAAAGGTCAAAGGCCAGAATTGTTAAACCGTTTAGCTATCCTTCAGCAAATTATTTTAATTCTCCCACAATCTATGCTATGTAAGACTACTTCAGAATTTTTCTTTTCCCTTTCCCCTAGTTGTTATTAAGAATCAATGCTAAGCCCATGACATACGTGCCATCCATTGCCCCACCAGACTAGTTCATCATTTGTACAACAAATAACACCATTATAAACTCACCTGATGGTAAATGCTTGTCTCAAACTGGCTCTTTAAAGCATACTCGTTAAAGACTGATGCCAGGGATGGAACAGTAACCTGCATTAATGTCTTGGAGTTAGGTTTCATTGTTTCACATTCTCCAGCATATTAGATACATTCTATTATACATATAGCTAAAGATTATTAACACTGTTGTGACAACAGTGTCTTTGTAAGAAGGCACAATTACCACAATAGTGCACACTTTATGATTAGTTTTCCCAGTTTGCATTTTCTAAATCTTTAGGATCATATGCAGGTTTCCTTCACCAGGTTTTTTGGCGTGCTCTAGCAATTCCTGTAGCACTTTTATATTAACAGATGTCTTTAATAGTTAGTAACTTTTTTCCCTGAACTCCTAAACTATCTCTTGACTCCAGAATCCCAACCCTCAATAATTTTATTAGTCATTTATCAATTTATTCTTTTTTTTATTTTTTATTGATATATTAACATACTAGGGAGTAGGGATAATTATGACACCATCATAGTATTTGAACATGCTTAATAACTTGATTTGATTGTATTTGCTTCAAGTGTTTTACAAGACATGTATTTGAAAGTTTGCATTATATATTATAAGAATTTATTTGTAAATTTAGTTGAGTTCACACCTTATTAACTGGATTAATTATCTAATAATTTCTAAAAGATTGTCATTGATTTGTAAATTTCAGAGTGTTTTTAATGATTTATAAATTTGATCAAACAAACACCTTAATGAGTGCAATGGTTAACAAATAGTTTAAAAGCTGTAAACTTAAAAATTGCTTTTATCAATTTATTTGTATGTTTATATTATAGCTAAAGTTACAACAACAACAACAACAAACTAAGTCTTATATCTCATAACTCTAGGGTTGGCTATATGAAAGGCCAAAAAAAAGGAATCATGTTAGGTTGTAGTTTTGAATCTTCTTGCGCCACTCATTTCTATTAAAAATAACCTTTTCATGTACTTCCTTAACCCTCGTATCATATTTTATTACTTGCATCCACATAGAGGTGTAAATGAACAGAGCTTTCAATGAACCGTTCGTGAACATGTTCAATTTCTGTTCATTTATATTCGTTCATTAAGCTTAACAAACGTTCATGAATACCATTTTTATGTTCGTTTATTAAACAAACTGAACATGAACAAAAGTCTATTTGGTTTGTTTATATTCATGAACAAGTTCATTTAATGTTCATGAACAAATTTGATTATAATTTGTTTAAAACATTAAAAGTTGATTATCTTAAGATTTAATTTTTTTTTTATCAATCTACAAATTATCACATAAAATTTATATCATTAAAAAATTACATATGACAAATTAAAAATAACTTTTTAACTTTTTAAAAATATTATTACAAAATAACTCTTTTTATATGCTTAAAAACTAGATAATAACTTTGAATATAAAAGTTTGAAAGCATTGAAACCTATTGTTATCAATCCCACATCAGCGTAAGAGCCAAAACAAAGTATGGGTAAAGTCTATAAATTCCCATCCTTTGCTGCTCATCTGTGCATATATCAATGGTAAAATTTGGAAGCCCGCAAGCCAATCCATCAATTGGTTGTGGGCTACACTTGCAGGTTATAGTTGTGGGCTACAGTAAGCATTAAGTCTATTTATTGGGATTTAAAACAAGAGCTCGTTTGTGTTCGGTTAAAGTTCATAAAAAATAATTGAATCGTGTGCGAACACATGTTGTCAAATTCATTAAGAGCTCGTTCATTTATAAGCTTGTTTATTTTTAACCAAACTGAGCCTGAACAAGGGAGAACTCAGCTTGGCTTGGTTCATTTACAGCTCTAAATCCACCTTTTTCGTAGTCTACCTCTAGAAGCTTTGGTCTCTCCCAAATCTAAGAGCTCAATTCTCCTAACTGGTGCACAAATAGGCCTACGTTTCACATGTCCAAACCATCTCAAATGGCCTTTTCTCATCTTTTCCTCAATTCAAACTACCTCTAATTTTCCTCAAATCTCTTTATTTTTATTTTGTCTCTTCTAGTCTTACCACCCATTCATCTAAGCATCCTCATCCCGCTACGCTCATTTTCTTCTCAGCTAAAGTTAATTTTGTTAATTCACTTTTAATTTCTTCGAAAGACCAAAGGTTCAAAACAACCATTTTATATATAGTTTTATCTCAACAAATCATAAACATTCCTTAGTTATCCTCCATTTCATTACTATATTAATTTTTTAATTTTGATAAATATTCAAAAATCCCTCTCCCAAACATACTATTACCTGCTGCAACATGCAGGCACCCCTGCCGGCTAATTGCTAAAAAGCTGCTTAAGATATGTTTAGCTAAACTACAATCAGTAAAAAGCAATTTCTAGCTTTCTATTTAAGATCAAGGTGGGAAAAACATGCATCTTTGCAGTCCTACTGTACGAATAAGATCATTGCAGATATAATCCTTTGTGATAGAGACAGATCAAAGAGTTGCCATATCAATCGAGTGATGCAACTGTTTTAACAACTTACAAAAATTAGTGTGTACAAGTATGCGTCTGTTGCAATCGGAAGACCAAATGAAGTAGTGCCCTCCGGTAAAGACTGCAATTGGTTTATACTAATTCCGATAAGCAACAAAGCAAGAGCCTCCCACTGTTACAAATATGGACCAACACCACACGTGGATCAATTATAACCAAATAGTCATCACAAAAGCCCACATATTCTCCTTCAGTTTTTGGAGAATTGACTGTGATACAGTGCAATGAGAAAAATCTTTTTGTTCAAACTAACCTGAATAATAGAAAACCGCCGTTTCATGATCATCTTTAACAAGATAGCTATTACTAAAACCTGCATATGTTGGACAGCAGTGAAACAGACTCACCAACAATTCTCCCAGAAAAACCAAAAGAAACAGCAGGATTGTGTGCATGATACTTAATCTTTCCATGGAGGACAGCAGCATAAACTTTGTTTTCACCAATGTGTTTAACTTTTAGATAGAATGATAGTCATAAACTAATGGTAATCAGGATTCATCATACTCATTGATTGTTGTGGTAACAACTGTGATGAATACCCAAAAAAAGGAAATGAAGTTTTAAAGCATAAAACTCACCAAAAAATGCATTTTTTAGAGCATAAAGGAGATTGATTAGAACCTATTATATTTAAATAATCATTAAACATAATGTGATATGCTACCTTCAGGTTGCTAAGCATCTTCACTGTTGCAGGATTGAAATAAAGCTGCAATGGAATAACAGCATAATTGTTAGTAAGCAACTACCATTAAGAAACAACAAGCCAAAGAATATTAATAAGAAATTTTAACTGTGGATAAATTTTTAACAGACATACATCACATAGTTAAATGGTGTTTCTCAAAATTCTATAGAATTAGGTAATGCTTAAGTAATTCAAAATTTAGGTGACATGAAGAAAGCAGAAAGATCAGTAAGAAAACACCACCTGCATTACAAACTTTAGGTAATTATTAATAGCATAAAGTAGAGCTGGAACTGCAAGAAGCACATTACTTCGAGCAGCCTGTAAAAGTTGAGAACAAAGACAAAAGCACCTGAAGGTCAGAAAAATGATGTGGATGAATTACTATGGCTCGTATCATTTCAGAGAAGTGGAATCTAAGCAAAAACAATAAATTATCGATACAAAGGAGAATAACAAGCTTAAAAGGTTCAAAAGGACTTAATGTCACATGAAGACAGCTGCCTAGACCAAAATGACACTGCATTAATAGTAGTACAAATATTTTAGTTCATAGAATGCAATCCAAAGACACTTTAATCAAAAAATAAGATGACATAAACGGCAACATATTTTTCAGAAAACCCATAATAAAAATAAAGAGGTAAAAACATATCACCTATTTAGAAACCAAAGGAAGAAAATTTTGATGGTTCAAAGGAGCACAAAGACACCCACATGCCAGAAGACGCAAAAGTAAAGCATAAAGAAAACTGCCACTCAAAAACAAAGGAATGTCAACAACGTATCATTCACTCTAAAGAAAAATAAAACAGAATCCATGGCTCATCTACCATTACTCTCAATAAAACAAAATTCATGGCTCATCTACCATTAGTCTCATTAAAGACGCACGTTGCGTAACACTGTCTCACCAATTTTACCGCACAAAACCAAGAAAATTGATAAAACAAAAAAAGGCAAAATCCATGTGGGCAACTAAAAACATTTGGCTGACTTGCCGCATCTCTAGTTTCAGCATGGCCTCTTAACAACTGAAATTCTTCTAATGTCTTCTCCACCTTGACTGCCCAAAAATCTTAAAAGTGTCAACTAAGATCACAGTGAACAATCATGTTGGTATCTTAATTGCCTTTGTTATCAACCAGAAGGCATATATGGTTAAGGCAATTTCTTAATCAGTTTCACAGTTCTAGCCCTCAATACAATAGCATCCCATATCATTAGAACGAACTTCAAGAATTAACATTTAAACGACCAAAAAGGCCAACAGTTGGTCCTTAGTGTAAAACCATTGAGATTATTAATGTTACTAAAAATCAGTAGTGAAATTAGTGACACAGAAACTAATGATACAATTGCAATCAGAATCACAGATTTGAAGAAGTAAATTTCTTACCTGCACTAATGTAGAAATTGAGAGAAGAGATTTCTCCCCAACTTTCTTATGCTGAGCCTTTAAACAGAGAGAGAGAGTTAAATAGGAACAATAATTAAATCCAATGGATGTAATGAAAGAATTTAACAAAAAGAATCCCCAATAACATGTAGTAAAAAATAATTTATGGACTTGGAGTTCCATTAATCATTTGAAACGCAACTGTCCCTATTCCTATTGGATACTAATAGCAAGCCCGTTGAGCTCATACAGGCTAGGTTTAGTAACTTTTCCTAACACTGTAGGTCACTGAGCACAGCCACTTTTATTTTAGCAATCCCTCTAAGTTCCAGAGAGCGATCTCTTTCCATCCCTGCCACCTCTAGATTATCAGATAATAATTGGAAATGAACATAATCTATTTGTTCCTGCATGTCAGACAGTTTCTAGAAAAAGAAACAATAGTCAAGATGACATCTCCACTAAAAATAATTTCTATTCGTTTGTAGGCTATGAGAATTTCTGAATCAGATATAAAACAGCTTATAAAAATAATTGATAAATTTTGTAACTCCCCCCCCCCCCCTCTTTAGGACTTCTCAAGTTTCATGCACAGAACAGAGCTATTTTAAACACAGATTTCATGCATTAAGCAACTTTGATTGAACTGTTAAATGGTGGACCTCAAATTTAGTGGGATATGTTCATCATCTTATGGTGCTTCTGATACCTTTACATCATATGTGCATTTTCCTTTGTTCATGCCAACCAAGTTCAACTATTGCCCTATAAAAGGGCAAGTTATATTGAACGCACTCAGCTCTGTTTTCCCAAATTATTTCGATAAGTTGTAATAGAAAGACCTTTAAGTTTTCTTCGGCTTATTTAACCTAGTATAGAAAACAAATATAAATGAACCTTAAAATTCAACAGTTGCAACTAAGATTCAATTGAGAATACAATTCCATAAGGACAAGAGAGTTCATGCGGTGGATACTGAACTTGATTTAATGGAAAATACGGCTTTGCTAGGAAAAAATGGTACATGCCTCACAAAATTTATGATAATTAAAGCAGGAAAAGAAAGAATAAATGGCAGTAATACTCAGTAAAAAAGATTAAAAACTTCACAAGCGGGTTTACATGAATGCCACGAGTCCAATTAACTGCATATGTTAATTCAATCATTCAATGTTGACTTATTTATTTATAGTTCAATGAACACCTGACTAGCGTATAAAACAGTTTGTGGAGTTCTTAAACTCCACTGCCAGTATGTACAATAAAAGTCCCTCCTTATATTCTAGAGTTGCTGATTGAGAAAAAGCTAAAAGTACCTGGAACAAGAGCATAATAATGGCGAAAATAACTTTGGTCACCTCAGTGAGAAAGTTAACGCTAATGGGACTAAACTTGAAACCCCCATCCACCTTTGACATATAAACCAATATAGGCTGCAATAATTATATATATATATATATATATAGTGTTAGAATGCATAGAAACCATCTACCCATATTGGTGGTTTAGGCAAAGTATGGTTTGTTTGATGGTTAAAAGAAAAGAACTGACCTGAAAACCAACTAAAATGCAGTCCCCACCGACCAAAAGAACATTGAGGAAACGAGTTTTGGAGGAGACATGGCTGCGGTGCCTGTCGTAAGCCCTCGAAATGGTTTTGCTATTCGTTGATGCTATTTTTGAATGGCAAACACTGCACTCTATCATCCCCACCTACACCTGCCCAACCAAAACAATAATAGATCAACTGCATTTTATATAAACCTATAAAATCAAATTTCATTTTTCAAAAGAAAAAAAAAAACCTAGAAAAGATAATTTGAAGCGGGAATTTCAGAATTTGGAGTGAAATTGGGAGGAAAGCAAAAGGAGAAAAAAATTACCTGAGTAGAATTAAGGGAATCGAAAGGCGAGAATGGCAGCAGATCTTGAGAGAAATGAAGCCCCCGATCAGAATTTGATAAAACAAAGAAAAAAAAGGAAACCTGAAAATTAAAAGGACAACAGAAACTTTGGATGTATGAAAATAAAGAGTTGGGAGGTACGATGTAACGTCACTCGCTGACTGCTTTTTTTCTTTTAGGACACGTAGGTTGGGAGAAAGTTAGATTATTATTTGTCATAATCTAATTTTTTGTAATTTAACTTTTTATTTTGATTTATAAATTTGATTTTTGAGATATTTTAAAATTTTAAATAATATAAAAAAATAAAGATGATAGTCCTAATCATAAATTTATCTCTCTCTAAAGCTTTTTAATATAATAAAAGAATATAAATTTATATCTCAATAATAATTTTTTATAATGTATTTTACCTTTAAATATTAACATAATTACATGATAAATTAATATTAATTCTGACATGTAAAATTATATTTCAAATTACACGATTGGGTAAAACTATATTCTTAATCACACGATTGCATTTCTAATAATGATTTTGTGTATTTAAAGTTTTATAAATTTAAGTATTTGTTTTCGATTGATAAAATTTTAGAAAAATAATATTTTTTTAATTATAAACGTAGTTGATTTTGTATAAAATAAAATCTTAATAAATTAAATTTTTTTCATTTACACAATATTATTATGTTAGACATGTAATCATATATTATATAATATGTTATAAAAAATTAATTATAATAAAAATAATATTTTTAAAAGAAAAACATAATAAATTATTTCAAAATTAAAATTTTAAATTTTTTTTTAGTTTCATAAACGTTATGTTTTTAACATATAAAACATAATTGATCATAAAAACAATAATAAAAACATATAAAATGCAATTTATTATAAAAAATAATAATAAAATAAAATTTATATTTTTAATGTCAACAATGTTTCTTAGTATGAAAATATAATGATCGATAAAACATAATGTTTTTATATAAAAATATAGTTGTTGTTAGTAGGTCAGTATAATATAATATTTATTTTACTTTTAACTATGTTTTGTATGTAAAAAAACATAGTAATTAATAAAACTAAATTTTGATTTATATTTCTCTAGATTAATGACTACGTTTCTTGTTATGAAAATGTAGTCATTGATAAACCATAATAATTGATCACTTGAAACTGATTACGTTTCTAAGATAAAAAAATATAGCTTTTGATGAAAATGTGAAAACAAAATATTTTTTAGAATTCAATAAAGACAAATTTTTAAAATAGAAAATACAATTTTTGTTGAAAAAATGAAAAAAATATATTTTTTAAAATTCAAGAAAAACAACATTTTCAAGATAGAAAAATACAATATTTGTGGGTTGGGAATTTACACATCTAAATATTCCCATATTATTTCTCATATTTTCGTCTATTATAGACTAATAAGACATCCTAGTCCTCACTCATTATAGGCTACAAATGAAAATGATTCAATCTGAGTGAAAATATTTCGCTAGCAAATACGGAAGTTATCACCTTATGAGAGCGTAACTACTTAACTTCCTCCTAATAAGGATAGAGCTCGGGTCTAGAGCTTATGCATTTGTATGTGCCTATGCAAAATGTGTAAGAAAATATACATGGCAAAATGAAAGTATGGATGTAACTAACATGCACTATTTTTTAAAACAATTAAAATTAAATATAAATTAAACCATTAAATCCAAAACAAGGGATAATACATGATTAATTTTTTGCCTAACTCTCAAAATTTTTTTTAGCTAAGTCACTAAGCTATTATAATTGTTTTTGGACCGTTAGATGAAAAGAATATAAAAACGAGAAAAACAGGAAGTCACTACTAATCTTTTTTGTTAAGTGTAATTGGCTACTTAAAAAGTTTATATTTTTAATAAAATAATAAAATGGGTTTAAAATTCATCAAAAAGCTAATTTTTGGTTTATGAAAACAAAATTGGGTTCAAGAGTACGGTTATGCATGGTGAAAGATTAACACCCTTATAGTACTCGTTTAAAAACAGTATCAATTAATTAGACATTATTTTTTATTTTGATAAAAAAATATTTTAATTTGAAATTTAATAATAAGTTCCTTCATTTTTTACAGAAGAAAATCAATTTTAATATAAGTTTTTGTTTAGGAATATTGTGAAAATTTTTAAGTTAAAGAATTACCATATAATCCTCAAACATTTAGATAGAATTTTAAAGAAAAATTTGTTCACCTAAGATTCACCATGACATTCCTTGAAAATGAAAATAACATTCTTTGCAAATAATAATTGTTGGTATCTCTCAAACATCTAAGTAGAATACCAAAAATTATTTCACTCAGAATGCTATTTTAGTTTTATTTCAAAATTCATATTTTCGAATAAGATTTTTCATAACAAATTTTATGTAGAAAAGTAATGGTATTGCAATTAACAAACAATCGACAGTGATAATCAAAAGATATAAATATGTAAAAATGAATACAAACAATTGTTTAAAGATAAAAAGATGCGAATGGATGCTATGCTTGATAATGAGATGCGATTTCAGGATAATGAGACCACTCGGACTCCCTAACCTTTATGCAGAGTTTAGGTATGATTGTTTATATTTAAAATCATGTTTTTTATTTCTATTACGTTGTTTAATCTTATTATTATTGGATTATGGAATTGTACGAAAAGCTTGATGAAATAAGATTTCCTAAATACCCCATACTTTAGGTGATATTCAAAAACAGATTACTTCATATGAGATTTTCATATGAGTCTTTTGATTTTTTGGGATGGTTTCAAGTGTTTTAGTTGGATTTAGGATTTGGATTAAATTTAAGGTTTCATGGTTAGGGTTTTAAGGTTTTAAGATTTTGGGGTTTTAAGATTTTAAGGTTTTAGGATTTTAGAGTTTTAAGGTTTTAGGATTTTGGGGTTTTAAGGTTTAAGATTTTATGGTTTTAGGATTTAAAGCTTCAGAATTTAGGGTTTCATCATTTTAGCATTTTAGGAAAAAATAGGAATTATTGATAATCTGAATATCTTTAATCATCCCCAAAAAATAGGCAGACTTTCAAAATAGATTTGGT